CAGCATCCACAACTGAATGGAACAAAAAGTGTTGAACTTGAAAATTGTTTATGCACTAGTGCACTTGCTAATTGAAGGCAGATTGTATAAAATGGATTTAAAAAAAACGTTTATTAACGAGCTGCATTTTTACATCACGCGCTGGCACAGATGCAGTAGTATATTAACGCCACGGGACACGGGTCCTCAATAAGGTGCAGATTGGTCCTCAATTTGTGTTTCCAATCCAACACACTTTTTCACAGCGCGCATCACGCGCTCAAACTCATCAAAAGTCAACAAGTTCCACAAGCAACAACGACTAAGTGACCGCTGCACTTCCGCTGACTATCGTACGCGGAAGTCGTGCAGGCGGATGACGTAGTACGTAGGCATCGTGCACGCGCCTCTGAGAAATGCAGGAGCAAAGGAAAATCGGTCTCCTCTTAGCTTATATCGAAATCCTCCGACATTTTTCTTTACAAATCCTCGTTTTGTGCTTCTAATTCGTGACCGGCATTTTGTTTCGTTTCCGCGTTCGTCACTAATTACGCAACGTCGACGTCTTACGTCATCCACCGGAACGGCTTCCGCATACGATAGTCAGCGGAAGTGAGAAAAAAAAAGTGTTAATTACGTTTGAAATATGGATATTTATCTTACAAAAATGCATGGATTCGCTACAGGAGGCCTTTATTCACCCCCCGGAGCCTTGTGAGGGACGTTTTATTACGGATGCGCGCACTTTATTTCACGTCTTCTGAACTGTTGACAACCAACACCCGCTTTCCCCCATTGAAAGGCTTGGAATAGCCAGGACAGTTTTTAATATAACTCCGATTGGATTCGTCTGAAAGAAGAAAGTCACATACACCTAGGATGCTTTGAGGGTGAGTAGAACACAGGCTAATTTTCATTTTTGGGTGAACTAACCCTTTAAGCAAGGCACCAGAACCCCCAATTGCTCCCCGGGGCCGCAGCGAATGGCTGCCCACTGCTACCCACCGGGTGAGTGTTCACGATGGGTGTGTTCACCTCTTACTTGGATGGGTAAAATAGAGAACAAATTCAGAGTATGGGTTACCTTACTTGGGTTACCCATGCTGGCAAAATGAGTCACAATGAGCAAATTTTCAAAAATGAGTTATTGTTATTAACATCAAAATGATGTATCATTTGTTGGAATCAGAAAAAAAGAACTTGAGCAACACCTGTCTAAAGTAGATCGAGTCAGCAAAATAAATTGAGAAAAATCTAGTTAATCTGGTAATACCACCAAATTCGGCACACACCAATCTATAGGAAAAATATAGGTACAACTTTTTTTTCCCAAGATACCACAATGCACCACACGTGGGGTGGGGGTTTAACCAATCATCGAAGACATTATTGCGACTAGAGGTGTGAATCTTCACTTGCATCAGGATTCGGTTACGATTCAGAGTGCAAGGATTCGACGATAAATGATTCTCAATGCAGCATGATGCATCTTTTCCTCCAATTATTTTCTTAATAGCTATATTATTCATAATATATTTTCTTAATTTATCATTGTTATTAAAATTAAGAACAAAGTTGCAAATAAGCATTGAACAAATATAAGAAAAAAAAAATCACATTTTACATCTAAACAGAATCATTCAAGTAAGAAAAACAAATAATCAAATGTAAAAATCACTGCATAGTCTTCAGTGTATTCATTACAAATAAAGCAGTTCAATCGAGAGCACTAGTGATTCCCTCTTTTCTTTTATTGTTTGATTAACAATAATGAAACAAACGGACTATATATTAAGACCTACTGTAATATACAGATCTAATATAATGTTACACATCAGATGTTTTTCACTAACAGTTAACCAAAAGTTAACTTAAAACATAACAGATTATGTTTATGTGAATATTTGCCAAGAAATGCAAATGAAATACTGCAATTCTGTGTGTATGTGTATATCGGGATTGCGCGCTGTCTTTGTACGCACGCTTCAGACGTGTCAGTCAGCGCGAGTAAGATCCTTTTTGCGGCTTATTGCTCTTAACATCAATCAAGTCCAACACTTTATTTTCTCGTTCCTGCATGTTCTATTCAAAACTAAAACCAAAACATTAGACACAAGTGCTTTGCTTCCGATGGACAAACGCAACTTTTCAAAACAAAGAAGGTAGACGTCTCAGAAAAAGTACAAATAAAGAACATTTTAGTTGTTTAATAACTATGCGTTTCATTGGGATCACTAGACAAGGGCTTAATGATCTCATTTTTGTGAAAACCTCAAATTCAACCAAAATTGACATTTTTCACTCGTTTTGCCTGTAGCTCGTAATTAGCCTGTGTGCATTCAGAGTCATTTTGCCAGCACGGGTCATACCGCCATCATACCGCTAAGCTCTAATTCAGTTTCTCAGATGCTCAGTCATCATCTTAGGTTTGTCTGTCTTAGCAAACCTGGACTAGGGTCGATGTTAGCGAGTAACTCGAGGTGAGGTCTCAGCCGGTTGAGATTGGCAGGGTCACCCGTCCTCTGCAGTGCGATGGTCAGCTCCTGCACGCTCTGAGCAAACGATGCTGGGGTCTGCAGCTGAAAGACAAACAGTATTCCCTTTGTCCATTATTCTGAGACATAACACTATTTATGCCATTTGAAAGAGTGCATGAAATTCTCAAGCCGTGCAAACAGACGGCAGTTATACCTTGTCAATGATGGACTGCATGTGAGACTTATGAGACTGGTCTCCATACAGCAGAGAAGACCACTGATCGGGCGCGATGCGGAGCCCTCCCTCCATTGCGATTTGAACAATCTGAGAGTCGTGTTCCCGCCGAAGTGCCTCATACGTGCGGAATTCCTCTTTCAACTGCATTAATGATGAATCCTCATCTCGCTTAGTCACCTACAACACATAAGAGATTCAATTGAAACCTCAGAGCTACAGCTGATAATGTTATTGCAAATAAGCTGTTGAGGTGATGAAAAAGTTAATTTGCACATTAAAAGCAACCCAAACAAAGAATCCCAACAAATCTGAATATGAATTCGAAAACAAAACCGAGAAGAAAAAAAAAACTCATAAGATAAAGCATCTCATAAGATGCTTGTGAAAAGCTCAGATGAGATCAAGTGCACAATAAAGGGTACCTACCTTGAAGCAGGAGGCACGGTAGAGGAGCTGAACTACATGTCCAATACTGGTTTTGGAGGCCTGAGGAAATCTTGGTTCCAGTCTCTGGACCACAAAGAGGACCAGAACCTTCCTGGAAAGAGCGGATCCATCTTCCAAAGCCAACAGCACCAGCTTTAGTGCCTCCTCCTGCATGGCTGTAGATAAAAAAAGGCCAACATATAAGACACTAGAACTTCCACAAGACCAAATTTTTGCGATGACCATTCATGTTGGTGTGAACAGGCTTAGTGTTATCTTACCAGGGCCCAGGAACTGGCAGCCTCTGGCTCTGACAGCAGCCCATAGGTTGGAGGAGAGCTGCTGGGGGTTTTGGTGCTGCAGAATGAGCTCAGTAACAGTCCTTTCACCCAGAGAACGGGCTGCCCGCATGGCCCTGACCCGTCCTTCCTCTTCCACCAGCTGACAGTGCACCAGAGTCACCAGCTTCCTCTGCATGGGGCGGCTCAGCATGCTCTGAGCAGCATTACTCAACCCCAATCCTAGATACAGCCAAAAATATGCATCAATTACTTGCCCATCCCCATTATACTGGCTTAAAGTTGGCATGAGAAGAAAATTCACCCTTTTTTTTTTTTTAAATGTATCTAATTGAATTTACAGTGAACGATTAATCAAAGCAGCTAATTAAAAAAAAAAAAAAAAAAGATTGTGAGCCCATATTTTTTTTAAATTGTCATGACTCAATCTTCTGGTGAAATTACAGTCTTCTTTCTGGTGACATGCTGTATTTCTCCAATCATTTAGTCCACTGAAACCCCACCACTTTCTTCACATCCACCAAAGGATAGAACCAAGTCACCTCCCTACTTTTTTTTTCCATTTTGGATAATCGGTGTCACTCAGATGTACATCACAATATGGAAAAAAAGTTCTGTCGCACACTTTCATTACATCACAACTATGATACAGGGCTCTACAGTGCGACCATTTCGCATTTGCGACTGAAAACTACTGCGTGCGACTATGAAATAAGATTTAGGAGCACCTGTGCGACTGACCCGATCAGCATATTTGTGTTTGCGCTGAGGGAGCTTCAAAAGTTCTAACGTACTTACGTGTTTCTGCAGCATTGAGTAATGTATCACAGACGTATCCTCTCATTATAACAAACAAAGTGTCTCCTAAATGTTTGACCGTGCTCCTAAATTTGTTAAATTAGGAGCACAAGCGCTCCTAAAAAGAAAAGTAAACGTAGAGCCCTGTGATACTGTAAGTAGAGCTCGACTGATAATCAGTTTTTTTCCCGATATGTAAGCATTTTTCCATTATCGGATATCGGTTTTGTAATATCGGATTTACGATATGCGCTATCTTGTGGGCACTTTGATAATTGCACACAAGACCGCCATTACGGCACTGCATCTTAAAGAGAGACGAGTCAACACAACGTTTACAGTTAAAGTAACTTGATTTGCTTTATTTAACATATCAGCCAATAATGCACAAATGAGATGCGTTACATAATTGATTGATATGCCGTTTAAGCTTGCCGTTGAGAAAGAGGTAAACTCAAAAAGAGTCATGCAATCCATAAAGTTACTCCTCAAAGGTGTAAAGAGTTAAAATTAAATTAAATGTATGCATTTAGCAGACGCTTTACTTACAGTGCATTCAGGTTATACATTTTTTATCAGTATGTGTGTTCCCTGGGAATTGAACCCACGACCTTTGCGCTGCTAACGCAACGCTCTACCACTGAGCCACAGGAACATTAACAACTAAATTGTTGTTAAATACAACAGACTTAAATAAGTGCATGTTGGAAACAAACCAGCTTAATTTAACTCTCTCTGTTGTTTATGCAATGTAATTATATTCTCGTAAAGCTGCCATTTATGAGTTCCATTCTGTGACCTGATTGACGCTCAGGCATGTTCCAGTATGACCACTGTATGTAGCTTTTAACAAGATCCACTCGCTCAAGACTGCCTAAATTACATTAACGTTTTCTATATAACCTTTATTTCGTTAAGCATCCAAGTAATTACAGTTCTGTGGAAATGATCTCCGCAGGAGATCGCGATTTGAGTATATATTCGGTGTAAGCGCATAGATAAAAACAGTGCTCTGAAAGAAGGCATTTCATAATCTAGACAGACAAAAATACTATTAATAACTCTGATAACATGCCAGTTGAGATTGACTTGCAATTTCAATGATGTATTTAATAAATTAATGATTAGATTTATGCAAAATTGATATAGACTGCCCTGTGGTTTATTTACGTTCTGTTTAAAACATCTGACTTTACGTATGACATTAAATCTATTTTATGTATTGTTAATATTAGTGTTGGTAGAATGCTGAAAGACTGTTTTCTACACTGCAGTGTTGTTCTGCTCAACTGGTTGTACTAAACTACACTAAAGTAGCAAAGCTTTTTTTATTCAGGTGGTTTAGAATGTTTTATGTTTTCTTTATTTGTTACCTGTTTAAAGCGGTCATATGATGTAGCTAAAAAGAACATTATTTTGTGCATTTGGTGTAATGAAATGTGTTTATGCGGTTTAAGGTTCAAAAAACACATTTTCCACATACTGTACATTATCGTTTCTCCTCTATGCCCCGCCTTTCTGAAACGCGTCGATTTTTACAAAGCTCATCAGTCTGAAAAGCGAGGTGTGCTCTGATTGGCCAGCTATCCAGTGC